GCAAAAGTACGAGGCCATTTAAAGTAGAATCAGGTGCTTTCCTTGCCGCAGAGAGAGAACCAGGTCCTTATAGCACAGAAAAAACATGGTGAGCAACTCTGGGGCTGTGTCATGCCCCTGTTGAATTCAGTGGGAGCAGAAGCAAGACCGAAAAGGGTAGGGACAGAGACTCTTTCGAACCTCACCGGGGAGAAAAGAGCAAATGACACACACAATAACATGATATAATAAACTCTGGGCTTCTCTTGACCAGCCTGTACTCTCATTGTCTGCCATAGGCCCATTGGGACTACACCACTTTTGCAGGATCTGGGCTCTTCATGATTCCCACCCAGCGCTATTGTAACTGCTACCAGGTGGATTTGAACCTGGGATCTCTGGAGTTGTCTATAGGAGCCTCTACCAGCTGAGTTAAAAGCCAGCTGGCTCCCAGCCCATGCTGTAGAGGCCTCTTGATCTTAACTGTTGTTGTGGTCTAGGTACCACTTGCACTGCTCAGTAACCACACGAGGGGTACGTCTAGACTACAGAGTTTTGCCGACAGAAGTTTTGTCGATAGTTACTGTCGACAAAGCTTCTGTCAACAAAGAGCACTAGACTATATCCAGTTCTGTCGACAAAGCAAGCCGCTTTGTCAACATGACAGTGTAGACGCAAAGGACAGCGTAGATGCAATAACGCCTTCTGTTGACAGAACTTTGTCGACAAAAGACGTTACTCCTCATAGAATGAGGATTACAGCTGTCAACAAAACTGCTGAGTTCTGTTGACGTTATGTTTACAGAACTCAGCAGCAGTGTAGACGCAGGTATAGTTTTGTTGACAAAAGTCCACTTTTGGGCTGTGTCTAGACTACATGCCTCTGTCGGCAGAGGCATGTAGATTAGACACATAGACAAAGGCAAATGAAGCCGCGATTTAAATGATCGCGGCTTCATTTACATTTACATGGCTGCCGCGCTGAGCCGACAAACAGCTGATCAGCTGTTTGTCGGCTCGCGTGCTAGTCTGCACGCTCCCCTGCCGACATCAAAGCCCTTTGTCGGCAGCCCCGTTATTCCTCGTGGAATGAGGTTTACCGGGGCTGCCGACAAAGGGCTTTGATGTCGACGGGGCTTTGATGTTGAAAGGGCTTTGATCAGCTGTTTGTCGGCTCAGCGCGGCAGCCATATAAATGTAAATGAAGCCGGGATCATTTAAATCGCGGCTTCATTTGCCTTTGCCAAAAAAACAAATCTACATGCCTCTGCCGACAGAGGCATGTAGTTTAGACGTACCCTTGTTAACAAAACCCTGTAGTCTAGACATACCCTACGGGTATGTCTATACTACATTCTTCTGTCGCCGGACAGATGTAAATTAGACATACCGAAATTGCTAATGAAGTGGGGATTTAAATCTCCCGCGCTTCATTAGCATAAAAATGGCTACCGCTTTTTGTCGCCACGGAGCTTTGGTGACGAAAAGCGGCAGTCTAGCCGTGGTTGTATCACTCACTAAAGTCTCTGGCAACTGCTCCTGTATACCTCATTTTACGGCCAGATTTAAATCCCTGCTTCATTAGCAATTTCAGTATGTCTAATTTACATCCCTCTGGCGACAAAGGGATGTAGTCTAGACATACCCTAAGAGTGTGGGTTACACCATGGCGAAAGAGCTGAGAATAAGAGTATGTTGCTATTATTATTGTTTGATTATTTATTTGCATTGCAAAATCACTTCCTAAGCCCAGTCCTGGACACGCCCCACTGCTGTACAAATACATATCGCCACATCGCCACTCGCCGCACCAGAGATTGATTTTCTGGCATTTGATTTAGAAGGTCTAGTTAAGACCAGCTAAATAAATTCTGAGGGCAGCTCTGGTCAGTGCCAGTACTCCTCGCAGTCATGAGGAGTAAGGGAAGCCAACGGGAGTGTTTGCTTTTGTCAGCCTCCCTCTGTGAAGACGGTGCCAAGCTCAGCTTATGGTAAGCCAACTCCAGCTACATATTTTATGTGACTGGAGTTGTGTGCCATAACCAGTGTAAACCTGGCCTTGCCTTACAAAGGAGCACAGCAGACATTATGGTTTGTTTCAAGAATTGCCGTCACTTCCCAAAACCATCCTTTGCAGATGTCCAAACAGAGTTGTCGTGGAGGTAGAATCTGGAGGAGAAAAGCCCAGAAATGGCTTATTACAGGGTAATACACTGTGTGACAGGCTAGGTTAAAGGGCTGGATAGAAGGGGAGAAAGGCAGTTCTATAAAAAACCCAGCAACGGCCCTCGTTAATTAGGAACAGCTGAGGCAGGGCAGCTATAGCTCAATTGAGGGGCAGGTGAGCTGACTTCAGGCTGCCACAGGACTTCTTTAAAATGCTTCCCAGTGGGGGTGGCAGAAGGGGGGAGGGGCGACTGCAGAAGAAATTTGGAGAGTTGAGGTGGAGAGGAACTAACAATTGATAAGGAGACTCAGAGAAGCTGAGCAGAACAACATCAGCACTGCTGATGGGGAGGTGCAGGGGGAGGTGACGGGCTGCGACAGGGAGTGTTTGGAGGCTCCCTTCCCCGCCCACCCTGGGGGTTACAGTGGATGAGAAGCTAGATATGAGTCAACAGTGTGCCCTTGTAGCCAAGAAGGCTAATGGCATATTAGGATGCATTAAGAGGAGCATTGCCAGCAGATCCAGAGATGTCATTATTCCCCTTTATTCGGCTTTGGTGAGGCCACATCTGGAGTACTGTGTCCAGTTCTGGGCCCCCCACTACAAAAAGGATGCGGACGCATTGGAGAGGGTCCAGCGGAGGGCAACCAAAATGATTAGGGGTCTGGAGCATATGACCTACGAGGAGAGGCTGAGGGACTTGGGTCTGTTTAGTCTGCAGAAGCGAAGAGTGAGGGGGGACTTGATAGCAGCCTTCAACTTCCTGAAGGGAGGTTCCAAAGAGGATGGAGAGAGGCTGTTCTCAGTAGTGACAGATGGCAGAACAAGGAGCAATGGTCTCAAGTTGTGGTGGGAGAGGTCCAGATTGGATATTAGGAAAAACTATTTCACTAGGAGGGTGGTGAAGCACTGGAATGGGTTACCTAGGGAAGTAGTGGAGTCTCCATCCCTAGAGGTGTTTAAGTCTCGGCTTGACAAAGCCCTGGCCGGGTTGATTTAGATGGGATTGGTCCTGCCTAGAGTGGAGGGCTGGACTTGACGACCTTCTGAGGTCTCTTCCAGTTCTGATTCTATGATAAGGGGATGGTTGGATGAAATAACATGATCTTGGTAACTAATTGACCATTCATTTCCAGTTGGAAATAGGTCAATGGAGGGATGATAGGAGTTGCTATAGGGAACTTTCTGGGTGTCTGGGTGTCTGGCTGGTGAGTCTTGCCCACATGCTCAGGGTTTAGCTGATCGCCATATTTGGGGTCAGGAAGGAATTTTCCTCCAGGGTAGATTGGCAGAGGCCCTGGAGGTTTTTCGCCTTCCTCTGTAGCATTGGGCACAGATCACAGCTGAAGGACTCTCTGCATGTTGGGGCCTTCAAAGTATTGGAAGGCTTCCACATCTGAGACATAGGTGAGAGGATTATTCTAAGAGGGGTGGGTGAGATTCTGTGGCCTGCACTGTGCAGGGGGTCAGACTAGATGATCATAATGGTCCCTTCTGACCTTAAAGTCTATGAGTCTATGAGTCACCCCTAGGTGTCCAGAAACTTCAGCCGGTGGCTGAGGAGGACTGTTTACTCAGCCCCAACACCCCGTTGTTTTGCCAAGGGGCGGAAAGGCCAAACGCCAAGAAAAGGCAAGTGGGACTTGTACCGTGGCGCCTACTAGTGGGTGGAACAGGAGTCTGGGACCCAGGAGTGGAACCGACCCTGCCACAATTGTCATGACCAACGTTTTAGTTTATTAGCTTTCCTCCCACACAGGTTTTATCGGAGAGCGTGGAGACTGGGTCTTAAATCTTTACAAGTGTTTCACTCCATTACTCTATCTAGCTTTTTTCTGAGAAAAAGTCAATAGGAAACAGCGCTGTTTGTATTAGGGTAGCACTTCTAGGGCTCAACTGGTACCAGGGTCACGCAATGATAGGCAATGCACAAACACGTGCACACAGACAGTTTTCTGCCCCAGAGGCGGAGGGGAAACAGAGGTGCGTGTGTGTGCGTGTGCATGAAGTGACTTGCCCAGGATCACACAGCCACATCCTCCTCTCTTCCTGCACAACAAAGTCTCCCAGCTCTGTAGAACTCTAGTGTCTCAAGAGTAAGGGACTAAACCTGCCACCAGTGGTGCTGGAATAGAGTTTGGAATTGGGGTGCTGCACCCCCTCCCCATTCTCCCACACATTACTGCTCCGTGGAGCTGGCAGGTGGGGCTCCACATATGTGCAGGACCCCAGGGCTGAGTGTAGGGTTGCCAGGTGTCTGGTTTTGAACTGTCCAGCATTTGAGCTTTCTGTTCAGGAAACAAATTGAGAAAATATCAATGTCCAGTATTTTCTAACTAAGATGCAATGTAGATTGTGATGTAATGTCAAGTGTGTCCAGTATTTTTGTTGAAACCATCTGGCAACCCTAGGTGTCTGGTTTTCACCTGGACTGTCCATTATTTGGGTCCCCGGTCCAGTAAAAAACCCAGAAAATACCGGACATGTGAAATGTCCAGTATTTCCTGTTTCCCTTGGACGGAAGCCCGTTGGGGACAACTTTCCCTTGCTTCATCTGGCGGGGGTGGGGGAGTGAGGAATACAGGGACATTAAAAGGTGCAGGACCCTTTTATTTATTTATTTATTTATTTATGCTTAATAACTTTGGTCTCTCCCCCCCTCTTCTTTTTTTCTCAGCAGAATTTTTTCCCCAGTGTTTTTTTTTTTTTTTTTTTTGCGGGGGGGGGGGGTTCGGTTTTTTTTGTTAAACCATCTGGCAACCCTAGCTGAGCGGGTCACAGGGCTGGTGGCTCAGTAGGGTGTGGGGCTGACAGCAGAGCCCCTGGACAGCTATAGGCCCAGTAGCCAGGATACTGGGTGGCAGAAGCACAGGGCTGGGATGCTCAAAACCTGTGGGATGCCCCCACCTTTATTTCCCATGCCTATGCCCATCCCAAAGTTGTTCCATCCAGCCAAGGTAAGCTATGTGTAAGATGATTCACCAAGCCAAAACACAGTTCAATATCTGAATGGGGGAAGGGAGATTTCCCTGTGAATAATTAAGCTTTTCATTTACATATTGCATTAGTTTTCAGATGCGTTTAATATTTAACATCTGTAGCCGGGCATGAAACAGCACAACTTGGTGCTATTTTCTACCCAGGATCTTTTTTTAAAAAATCGTCTTCTAAGCAACATCATAAAGACTCTTTCTGCCTTGTACTAATTGGCTTCCACAGAAATGCAGCTATTTTTGTACAGGCCAAAGCATATTGCTCTTTGTTCCCATTACTTTTTCATACTCGTTATTCTCTTGGCATTTTCTTAAGTTTTTTTTTTTCCTGCGTGTTATCTGCTATGTGTTGAACTGCCTGAAAAAGTTAGTTGCAATTTAGTAACCTTTTTGTGATGGTTTAGGCTTTTTCCGTCTCTTCAAAGAAAAGATGTTCCTCAGAACTTTCTTCTGAAGTGACTAATAATGTAATGGAGACATTCTGCAGATCAGATGGATGGATATAACAGTATATAAATGGCTAACAAAGCAGGTAGCTCAGATATTTGTTCTTTATTCCACTCAGAGTATCATTTAAAATTCACAGTCTTCCCTGGGTCTGAAGGAAATTGCTTTTTTAGACAAAAATATGCAGGGTTTTCCATCATTGTTACTTACAGTGGAAGCAAAGCAGGTGGTGTAATATATGGAATACAATAATCATCTAATTTACTTCACATTAAATTGTTGTATGGCAAAATGCAAGGAGATGAGTTCCTAGTAAGAGAAGCAAATTCTTCAAGCTAATGCTAAAAATAAGGTTTTAGGAAGGACTGATTAAAAAGGGTGCAAATTGTCTGTGAGAGGCAGATAGTTTTTTGCATACAAGCAGAACAAACATGGGTCGGATTTCAAAGTGGGTATCTTTGCTGGAAATCTGTGTCCTGGATCTCTCCTTTCTTTGAGTGCCTTTCATAGAACATGACATCTCTCCCTCGCTGGAATCAAAACTCTGCTTGGGGTTGGAGCTATGTGTATTTATTTATTCCGATGTTGTTCCTACCCTTTCTTGTCGCTGTTGTTGAGAGGTAGGAGGAGGTGTTGGTGTTGTGAGCGCCACACTTATGGTGGAAAGTTTTGGGGAGGGGAGTTCCAAACTGGCCCTTAGATGTGTAATGCCTGTTTTGTGTGCCTATAGAACAGTTTGAGCAGAAACCAAGCATGGGATGTGGACAACCTAAGAAAGGGCTGCTCTTTGAAAATGTCTCTTCCTAGGAATCTGGTGTATGGGCTGGCCCAAAGCATCAATTAATGGGATACGAAACCCATCTCAGTGCCAACTCTTTGTTCTAACTCCCTGTATGATCGATAGGTGTTTCCCCATTGACTTCAAATGGCAGCAGGATGGGGCCCTAAATCGGATGAAACCCTTTACATCAGCTCCCATGTACACCCAGTCCATGTAATGCTAGTAAAGAGTTTGTCCAAACAAATTCCTACCTTTTTGGGTGGTTCTTTCAAATATCTCTGTGCTCTGTCCTGGAGAGAAGTGTTTGAAGTACGAGCAGTTACGATCTGAACAAGAACAAAGGAGAATGTTAGTCGATAAATATAACTGAATTTAAGAAACCACAAAGAAAAATTAGGGAAATGAAAATTTTTGCATTAATGGAACGGAAAAATTCAAATGGTTTTGGGTAGAGATTAATGGGACTTAATCCCGAATTTGCTGCAGACATGTCCAGTATGCAGTTTATCTAAGAACAAACCAAACAATGAATGTGATTGACACCCCATTCCAGCAAATTACTTAAACACACGCTTCATGAGGTTTCAATGGACCTTGAGATTATGCCGCGGAAGCCTAGTCATTAGAGAATAGGTCTCATCCAGGCCACAAAAAATCCTTCCAAAAAGATAAATTCATTGTCTGGAAATTGCTGGTGGTTTCAAAATCATGTGATCTCTCCACATGTAGCTACAGGATGAATCTCTCTAGTCCAGCAGTCTCAGGTTCAGCAACATTTGTGGTCTGTCATGATTTCAGTTAGGTGGCTGTCGGCTTATCATGGGTGTGGCCACATTTCCCGTGGTCCCATAAAGTTTGTTTACAGCCACCAGTCCTGGTTCTCAGTGTTCTGTGCTGTTATTTAGCTCTGATTTATCCCGCATATCTTCTAAGAGCCCAGTAAACAGTGGAAGTGCTGGTAATGCTGCTAGACAATATTGACCTCCCGTGCTTTGGCAAATTCTCTGGTTCAGCACTGGTGAGGTCCTGAGGGTGCCAGACTAGAGAGGTTCAACCTGTAATATAAAATAATAGAACATTAGTCAATATGCAAGTCACTGTCACAGGGCCGGCCCACAACATTTTGGTACCTGCAGCAGGGAGCTCAAATGACGCCCCCATGCCACCTCACTGCACCAGCAGCAGACAATTTTCTACACTCTGGGTCCTAGTGGTGCCCCCACACAGTCTGGCACCTGAGGTGGCCGCCTCAGTTTGCCAGCCCTGCCCTGTCAGGTTCTCAGCTCCATCCAATGTCATTCGTAGCCTCGGAACGTTCTGCGGCAGGCTGTACATGGGATGCATTGGCAAGGGCTTGTGACAAGAATCAAGATAAGGAAATAGAACTGGGCTTTCCTGAAAGCCGGTAGCCAAGAGCGCGAAGACGTGCTAAGCTTTAGCTAGTCTGTAATCGGACCAGTGTACATTATATTTACTATGCATGGCAAGCCTTAGCTATCCTGTTGCCAACGCGGCCTCTGAGGTACTTGAGAAAGCGCATGCTTTTGAGTCCACTAGGAATGAATTCTTCTCTCACACAGAGATGAACGTCAAGTGGCTTCCCAGGGGTTGTGCAAGTGGAGAGGAGAGAGTGTTTTATGTTTGAGGAGGGGAATGGTTGCTGCATGAAAGGCAGCCATCTTCGTAAGCAGAGATAAAGCAATCACGAGGCGGTCATTGGGCACAACCTCAGACACCGTTCCCAAAGAAACACAGACTCTACTTTCTGCTTTAAGAAGGAATTACAGAAAATTCTTTTTTTCATTCACAGTCAGTGAAGATTCCTGCCTCCCCGTGGCTCCATGCGGGGGCATTTCTTCAGACTGGCTCCCCCAGGACTGGCTTAACATCTTCCCCTCCTCTCCTCTCTGCCATTGCCAACCCACACTGCCAACTCACCCCACTCCAGAATGGCATCCCTTCTTCTTTCCTTGCCTAATGCGCTCTCTGTCAAGCTGCAGAACTGCAGCTCCCTGTATTCTGCTAAAAGACAGAATGCATCACCCAGTTCATGTCTTTATTCAAGCCTTTCAAGCCTTTATTCAAGCCTTCATGTCTTTATTCATGTCTTTATCCAGGGTAACAGTGTCAAACTTGTAGATGAATTCCAGTTCTGCAGTTTCTCTCTATAATTGTGACACTTTAGAGACTAAGAAAAATATATAGAGAGACTCATGAGTTTTCATGGGTAAGGTGCCACAGGACTACTCATTGTTTTTAAAGTTACACATTAACATGGCTACCCCTCTCGGTCTCTGTAATTGGTTAGTGAAATTTCTTTGTAGAAGAATGGCTACTTTTAAAGATATTAACTGGTTGATGCATTACAAAGCCAATTTCTCCTGCTTTTAACGTCCACATTCTCACTTTAAAAGCTACGAATGGGACACATCCAGTTCACTTAGCTTCATTAATATGGGTCTTACAATTGACAGGTACTTCTTCTGCTGTTATATATTTCTAGGTTTCTGTTATTTCCACTCTAGCACATCTGATGAAGTGGGTTTTACCTATGAAATCTCATGATTCTATATATTTTTGTTAGAACCAAGATGCACCAGGACCACTCATTTTTAAAGTTACAGACTAACATGGTTACCTCTCTGAGATATTTTGCTGCGTGACATTTGTGAGCAAATGTCAGGGGCTTGGGAGGGAAAGCATCTCCCGGTGCATGCAAAAAATAATGTGCTCAGCTTCCGGAGTGCAAGCAAGGAGAAGGGTCTGTTGGGTTGGTGCCCGGTGACGTGAAGCTTTGCCAGCTGTACCATTTGGAGGGAGTTTATTAGCACGTAGCATTTATTTATAACTTACTCAACTGAGGCCTCGACAAGTACATATAGCTGAAAGCACCTCCCCTTGCCAAGAATTTGGATGGAAGTTGTGTAATCCTGCTGACAATCAACTGAAACAGTAAATTGTCTGATTGTGCTCTGCTAATGGCGAGCCACATAATTTGAAGACTGGTCAACTCTATCTCAATAGACTACATTAAAAATCACACATTTACAGCACCATGGGGTTATATTTGCTGTAGTAACACTAGGGAGAACTGCCAAGACTGCAGTGAACTTAGCTGCCCCAAATCACAAATGGTCATAATTTTAGAATAAATAAGGGATGGTGGAGGACGTTGGAAAGCAAAGACTAGAAAGTCCGGGAGTTGTGAAGCTGCTCATCTCACTGCAAATTTAACTGGAAATTTCAACCATGGTTTGTCAGCTGTTGCTGAACCAATGCAAACCCCTAGTGCTGATGCACAGAGTCATTATACGCCATTATGGCAATGTGACTTCAGGGTAAATATCTCTGGCAGGGGCGGATGAGAGTTTTGTGGGGCACAGGGCAGCACAATTTCGTGGGGCCCCCTTTGGAGAAAAAATAGAAAAAAGGTGTCAAATGCGCAAATTGAAGGTTATTTTCATATTAAATGTGAATTGGGTAAATTTGATAGAAACTTAATTTAGTTGGATAATTTTTAAGTTAAAATATAAGTAATTCATTCTTAAACAAAATTCTGCATTAATAATTAAAAATTTTCATTTGTATTTAAGTCTTCTCCCCCTCCTGCCTCACTCTCTCTTTCTCTTCTCCTCCTGCCTCACTCTTTCTCTTCTCCTCCTGCTTCACTCTCTCTTTTTCTCCTCCCCCTCCTGCCTTACTCTCTCTGGGTATGTCTACACTACAGCACTAATTCGAACTAAGCTAATTCGAATTAGCGCAGCTAGACTTAAAAACTAGTTCGAATTAGCGTTTTGCTAATTCGAACTAGCATGTCCACACAGAGTGGACCCTGAACAGAGGTTAAGGATGGCCGGAAGCAGTGCCGGCAGGGCATCAGATGAGGACTTAGAGCGTGGAGCTGCTGTCTCAGGCTAGCCAAGGGCAGTGCTTAAAGGGACCCGACCCCCCACCCCGGATAGACAGTTCTCAGGGTTCCCCACTTGCAAAGCAGTCCTGGCTTGGAGTGCCCTGAGTGCCCACACTCGGCACATCACAGCACTCGGCCATCACCCCGGCTGCACTTGCCACAGGCTGCCATCCGGGGGGAGGAGGCAATCGGGGGGCTGCAGGAGAGCTTCCACCCCCCAGAAGCCCACAGAGCCAGCCCAGTCCTCCCCATCGGGGGCGCGTACCCCATTCCTCCCTCACCTCCTTCCACTTACCCTTCCCTAGCCCCCCTTCTTGATGTACAAAATAAAGAAAATGTGTGTTCAAAAATAGAATCTTTCTTCAAAATAAAGATAACGTGTCTTCCAAAATGGAATCTGTCTTTATTGAACAAAACTGGGGGAGACTGGGAAAAGGAGGTGGGAGAGGGGAAGAGAGAGGGTGGGAGAGGGGAGGGCAACTACAATGATCAGGAGTTGGGAACAGGTTCCATATGAAGAGAGTCTAAAGAGACTGGGACTTTTCAGCTTAGAAAAGAGGAGATGGAGGGGGGACAGGATAGAGGTCTCTAAAAGCAGGAGTTGGGTGGAGAGGGTGCATACAGAAAAGTTCTTCATTAGTTCCCATAATAGAAGGACTAGAGGACACCAAAGGAAAGGAATGGGTAGCAGGCTTCAAACTAGTAACAGAAAGTTCTTCTTCACAAAGCAAAGAGTCAACCTGTGGAACTCCTTGCTGCAGGAGGCTGTGAAGGCTAGAACTAGAACAGAGTTTAAAGGGAAGTGAGATCAAGTCATGGAGGTTGGGTCCATGGAGTCCTATGCTTGGTCACTGTCTTTGGTCCATCCCCTCCAGGGTACCTAGGGTTGGCTGCTGTCGGCAGACAGGCTACTGGACTAGATGGACCTTTGGTCTGACCCAGTACGGCCATTCTAAGCTCAGGGCTCAGGGTCGGGGGTCTCAGTGGATCACCCTGATTTTCATGCAAACCTGCTCCTGGGTGGCCAGGCTGGCAGCTCTCCTTCCCTAGACAGCCACTTTCCTGTGCCTAGTGTGGAGTTCGTGGACGAGGTCCACAATGTCTACACTAGACCAGGTGGGTGCCCTCCTCTTGCGGTCCTGGCCAGGCTCCCGAGAGCCGCCAGCCTGGTCCCGGGAAGAGGGGGTGGGC